CAATATGATTATCGTATCTCATATATTTAACAATTCTATTTCGAATTTCGATATCAAAGATAAATCTTTAAGATATCAAAAGAAAAAAGGAAAATCATCAATAGATATCATTGGCATTATTGATATAAGATATGATAAAATTTGTAAAATTTTTTCACCGAGCAATATTATTTAGTGCATTTCATCAGAATGAAGCTCATCGATATGATTTTTCAATCTTGGTTATCTTTCTCTTTCATTGTTATTTTTCTTATTATTTTTCATTCAAGTAATTTTTATAATTTTATTCTAGTCTTGGACATCCGTTTATTCCAAAATTTTCCTTATTTTAGTGATTGCTTCGATGGTGAGCATGAACAAAGAACATCAGAGAACTTATTGTTGGCTCTAAACTATAACATAGTTACACTCTTAGAATCGCTGTTGTTCTTAAGAGTAAAAACCGCTACTCGAATCTAAACACTTTTATAACACATTTATGATTTCACTTATTGGCAATACGATAGTCTTGGAAATGAATCAACACGATGCGTATCTCGACACGTTTCTTTTATAGAGGAGTCGATGTTAATAAATATTTTTTTCTATTTATATCCTTGCAAAAAATATTATTTGGATATATAGGAACGCATGATATTTAGATATAAGAAACGTGTAATCATCAAAATGAATAAAAAAATTTTATAGATAATTTTTTTTAATATTCCTGAAAAATGCATTCAGGGGATGATTATAATGTTACGAAGAAAATCTGATTTTATCGTGTCTTTTCTATTTGTTACTTTTCAATTATTCAATCGGTATTATTAATGTCAATGTTTTAAGGCGATTTCATTGTACCGATTCTTTCAACTGTACGTCGCTTAATTCCATGTTGTTCCGTTAGCCTACTTTTTAGCAATACGTATATAATATAAATTACTTGGTACACTTCAAAATCAAGAATCTTTTATTTTTGACTTAATAAAATATCTGTAATTAAAAATGAGATATTAAAATGTATTTTGGCGTTTTTCCAATCTTATCTTTGTGCAATGAGATCATATAGAGATTTTGAAAATATCATGGACTTTAAAAAGATAAACGAATTTCATAGTTTATATCTTGAAATAAAAACAAAACAAATGTAATAATTCATATGTAGTAAAAGTATAACAAGTTGAAAATGATCCAAGTAGAAATAACATATTTTTAAGTTTCATGATATTCTGATAAAATTAAATAATTTTTAAATTTTTAATTTTTTGTTGCAATTACAATTAATTTGTATCTTTTTCTCAATCGTTTCGCTTTAACAATATCTTATCGATAATTGCATATTAATTCAATTATTAACATTGATTAATATATAATAAACATCGTATAAAACAACGTATAATTAATTTTTAAATTCTAAATGTAACATAGAATACGTAACTTAGAATTGAATTAATATTTAATCGAGTCAACGATAGGTTTATTGCAAGCATAAGATATCTTATCAATACAAGATATATTGAAAATAAGAAAAAGTAAGAAACAATAATTTTTAATATATCTTACACTTGCAAAGTCAACATTTTTAATTTATATGCATATCACATAATAAAATATCACAAAAAAACCTATCAATGGTCTTTCAATTTATAGTATACACTCGTTTAAAAGTGAAAGGATTGACGAAAGATGAAACGCATCAAAAATCCCCACAAACTCGCTTATCCTGTGCGTATACGCTTAAAGATGCATCAGTAGCAAGTGGTAATAGGAAGTAGGTAGTGGGGGAAGTTACCCCAACCTCTCACGCAGAGTCAGCTATAAGGTATCCCGATTGGTCCCAAGTAGGCTTAGTTCACCTTTCGTTAGTGAGTTCGTTTTTAAGGCGTCTGGCCCACATATTCTGTTAGTAATCCTCGATACGCGGTAAGTGTTGCATCGAAGTACTTTAAATCGTACCAATAGTGAATGATACGTGTTCCAAGACGTATCGTCTATTATTTTTTTTTTTTTCCCCTCTCGAAATTTAACCAATTGGATTGTGCTGATCGAATTCTTGTAAGTCGTTCATATTTTTTCTTGTATCGTAAACAAACTGATATTTGTTTATGCGCGTGCGCGCGCGCGCGCGTGGCGTGTGATAAAGATTTTGAACTTCTAATTTCCCTCCTTATTTTTTTTTTTTTTATATTTTGTGATTTTTGATAATTTTGAATTAAGTAAACATTATTTTTACGGGTATAGTATATTTATTTTATCTTATTTAAATTACGAATTTAATTACGATTGGTATCGATATTTTATCAATAGTCGTAATACCAATTACTCGTTGTAATTAAACTTGACATTCTACTTCATTCGATTCTCATCGTGTAAATGAAAAGATTTCTATTTTTAATAAGAATATATCGGTGTTAAATATCGATGTTGATCGATGAAAATAATTAATGAATAATCATTGAAAATATATTTCATCATTCTCATCAATTTTATTATTAAATCAAATTTTTAAATATCAATAATTTTCTAACAAACTTTTAATCTATAGATCTATCTAATATATCTAATATAAGAAGGAATAAAGTCATTTGAAAAGTTATCGGAAATATAGATAATATTGTTTAACATTATTTCAATTATTTCCCTGAATTCTATTTCGTTAGACGCCCAGATAGTAGAAAGATTGAAATTTCAATGGTAAATAATGTTTCATGTGTCAAGATAAATTTTGCCTATACAAGTGATAAAAGTCAATGAATTAAAGTACGAACGGAATTAAATGATAGAAAACTTTACCACGATAATGCTATATGGATCTTCCATATAGCAAGAATATTAATACGTTCATTTTTAAAAATTTTTTGATCGAATAAATATATTATATATAATTATATATCTCTTTTATATTTATAATATTTGTAAAATATTTTAAATCTATATTTGTTAATAATTTTTTGAATGGATATTTATGTAAATTCGCGCGATAGATTCGCGCAAAGTGATATTGGTAATTGATTGGCGTGAACTATCGATAGTGAACTAGCAATTCAGATATAAATGGACGCCATGTGAAAATGCATACACACAATAAAAATTTATGTTGTGTGAGTGATATTTTTTTTAAAAGTTCGACATGATTTTACAGTGATTGATACAAATAAAAATTATTATAATATCATTTGTATATTTAATTGAAACATTGTTATTTAATTGTTATTTAATTGAAACCATTGCAATGATTACGCGTTTAATCATTCTTCCTGTACATTTACAAGAATATGAATATTCATGACAAATTGAATCATTTCAAGATCTAGAAATTGATTAGTTTTCAAAGATATTAGGTGAGAAATTTATTACGAGATTAAGTAAACACTTCCAGGCAATTAAATACTTTGATATCATACTTTGGACTAAAAAAATCAGGTTTTCGTAGAATTAAAATTACTGCATTATTCTATGAATTTACGATCGATTAATAATTCATGATTCGGCCTTTTTTTTTTTTTTTATTTTATTTTATCATTAAAAAAGTCATTTTAATTATTTTTTATCATTTGATATATCATTTCTATTGTTTATAAAAAACGATAAACATTTCAAACATTGCAAGATTTTTATTTAAGTTTTCTTTTTGTTTTTCTCTTTTTCATGGACAGGTCTAACATAGTCAATGGTCAATGGCATAAAATGGGTAAGCGAATTCAAACAAATTCTATTTATTTCTTATCATTATTTAAAAAAAAAAAAAAGAAATTAGAACATATCGTTTGTTCACAAACATTTAAAAATATTTATTGTTAGAGCGATTGTTCGTTAAATCACTTTTCAAAGTTTCAATATAACTATTATATTCCAATATAACCTCCAAATACGAGACGTATGTTGAAAATATTGCCATTTTCCTTTAAACCGATTGTTTATATATTACGTGACGTTAGATTTGAAGTTGACTCTAGGATATCAAAATGTTCGTGGTTCAATTGACATTTATCATTTGGCCGTGATAATGACCGTGAATTGTTAAATTTGGTCGGAAACGGTCGGTAATAGCAGGGACCGGACTTATAACGGTTATGTCATCGTAGGGATCGAACGCAAGAATAGTAGAATCTCACGTTTCATAGCGTATTCTCATGTAGAAATTCTATATTTTTAAATGTTCGATGCGATCCTTTTCTCGATGCTTCTCTTTCTTACGTGAAACGTGATACGGAAGATCTGTTTTTAAAGTTGAAATACGGTATACTTAAACCAAATAAGAAGACTCTTGGGAATTAAACCCGTAACCGGAAGTTTGAATCGTTTAATCGGTAGTTAAAAAGGAAATTTCATCGACGTGGTACGACGTGCTACGTCGTCTGGCCGTCGGCCTCTCTCTTCTCTCTCTTTATCTCTCGCACGTTTATTTTCCTCTTTCCTTTCCACTTTGGCGAGGGTCATTGGCCACAACATTGATACTATCACGTTACAATCGAAACTGTAGACGTTTGCGAATAAACTCAAAATGAATCACGGTCAAATCAATTATGTGATTATGTGCTCGATCAATTAATCAGAAATTAATTATTCGATATCGAGAACAATCTTTACGAATGAATGAAATTATTGTGCGTGTACGATATGAGATTCAAAAATGTAGAATAGAATAGAATATATTAATGAATCGTGAAAAATGATTTCTATATTCGTATATTCGTTTTCTATCTACGATTCACCTGTGAACATTATAATTTATAATATTTCGATTTTAAATTTAACATTTTCAAATTTAAATATATAATTCTAATTGAGTTTAATTTATGTAAAATCTATTGGTACAAAGTGTCAATTAATAAGAATAGGAAACGAATGTCATGGAAGGAAAATGTATATAGAAATAGAATGTTAATGAACTCGGGAAAATTAATGGACGGACAGATATGTGTGAAAAAAAAAAAAAAGTCAACGGCATAAAAAAGAAAAATTTAACGCTAATTGTTTTCTTCTCGACATAACGCTTTGCTATAATGTAAACATGACGTGTTTGCTGAATGTTATATATTTCTTAGAAAAATTCTTACGCAGAAATAATCGAGTAATTTTTTAATACATGGATTAATCATCGTTGATTTTAATCTTCTTCCATTCGTCTTTTTGAAAAAAATTTTTTCTGGTTTTTTTCCTTCGATGTTAAAACGAAATTTTAATATCGACAAAAAAAATTGAATTATTAGGGATATGTAGAATATATTTCTTTATTTTCGATTCTTCGATAATTACAGTTTTTTCTTACATAAAAAAAAATGCAATTACATTCTACAGTTTTTCTTTGCATAAAAAAAAAATGCAATTAATCGCTCATAATTTTTATTTTTTGTTCTTTGTAGTTTAATTAATTATTTACACTATTC